GTATCGTTAGGAGCCCTAGCTGCAAAGTATTTTTTGTTTTTCCTTCAGATGAAAGAAGAAATTCTTGGAAGCATTTGTGAAGTTGTTGATCAAGCTGAACTTTTTCCATTTCATTTATAATGTTACTCACAAGGTTAAAGTTAAAGTGATCTGTTCTTGAATTTTGGATGATAATTTTGATCATTTGGGTTTTATTGTCTCTGTTAGAAATTTTTTCGAAGTTAAGAATCTGGATGTCATAAGTGGCACTGGTGTTAAGAATTTCTTCAATGTTTTTTCCCTCTTTAATGATAAGGAATTGTTTGGGGTAGTTGATAAGGTTAGGGATGGAGATGGTTTTGAAAAAATCAGTTTTGTGAATTGTGTTTGTTTTCAAGTCAAGAAAGTAGATTTGAAATTTTCTGTTCCAGTCATTATGAATAGTAGCATGAAGAAATTGTTTAGGATTTGTTGAAAGTGTTGCTTGCTCCATAATAGGAGTGATGGGTTTGAACTGTGCACTTGAAAGCGCTATGGAAGAGAAGAAGTGTTTGTTTTAAAGTTGTTTCTATAAAAGAAAATTTTTTGCAAAAAATCAATTTACGGGAAAGAGTTTTTTTTTTAATAAATAATATAAATTCAAATATAATATTCTAATTATTTTTAAAAAAATTTTAAATAATAATTTTGATTTATTACTAATTGTATTAAAAAAACTTCTTTCGAATACTTTTATTTATAATAAAAATCTTTATTTAATTATTTTGTTAAATATTATGAAAAAAGTATTGTTAATAGATTTTTTTGATATATTATCAAAATAATTTGCTAAAGATAAAACAATATAAAATATTTATACAATTAAAGAATTAATTAATTATTTTAAAATTAAAACATAATTTATAATAATATTTTTTTTATATTTATTCAAGAACAAATCTATAATAAATAATTTTTATTCATATTTATCATTTATAAAAATCAATGAAAAATTGTATATTTTTATCTTTGATATACTTAATAATATAGATTATAAAGAAATTTATTTAAAATCAAGATTATAAAAGATAAAATAAAATATGCATCATTTAAAAATAAAATAAAATATATACCATTTAAAAATAAAATAATAATAACAATATTTCAATAATAATAAAATAGAAATAAATAAAGATTGCTTATTAGAATAGAAAATATTTTTAATTTTTCAATTCTAATAAAATTTTAATTTTTTTATACATACTTAAAATTAATTTTAAATTTTTCAAAAAATTATATTTTATATAATAACTTCTTTAATATTTATTAAAACTTAACAATATATATATAATTAAAAAGCTTAGTATCTAAAAATCCAATGGTAATAATATTATATAATTTTAATTATTAATTATTAAAATATTAGTATTAGAATAATTAACTTTTTTAATTTTTTTAAATTAAAATTTTTATTATATCAAATCAAATCAAATAAAAATACAGCAATTTAAAAAACTTAGATCTTAAGTTATTAACCTATAAAATTTTTTAATTTTAATTATTACTTATTGAAAAAATTAAACTTAAAAATTTAATATTAATTTCAAGCATATTGTCATGGATCAGGATCTGAAATAACACATCACAAAATCTTGATTTCGTGACACTCAAATATAGGGGTCACAGGTTTTACAGGGGGTAATAGACAGAAAAAAGGCATGAATTTAATGAATTTTGATGATTTGGAGGATATAATTAAATGGAAACAGTGTGATAAGTATAGTTATTTTTATCAATGAACAACTTTTTATTAACTTTTTTCTAATTGTCGTCCCTTTTTTCTTTCTACTTAATTATTATATCATATATATACTTTTTCTAGCAGCACAACGAAATAATAGAAATAATAGAAATAACAAAATAAAAGAAATAACAGAAATAATAAATATAACAGATATAACCGATTGCACAGAACAAGCAAAAACAATTGAAATAACTGATCGAACTGAACAAGCGAGGTTGAAGGTTAATTACCTGATTAGGCAACCTTTGTAATGAACGATCTTTATTACACAATTCTTAAGGCTTATCATCAATTATTTTTTTCTCCTAACAATATATATAATAATGTAAGATATAATTTAAAGTATAGGTAATAGTTATTTATAACTTTTGATTTAGCTATTTTTCTTTTATACAAGTTCTATCTTATATTATTAATTATATATTATTTTTTTATATTTAATTAATTATTTTTTAATTAATTAATTTTTATACAATTTTGTAAAAGTTAACTATTTCTATTAGTTAAAATAATAAGTTAGGTTTTTAATACAAGCAAATATCAAGATAATATTATAGGCAGATGATTAAGGAGAAAACTCAACTAAGAGCTTTATTAAATACATGTTTTTATCAATATAAATAAAATAAAATAATAATAAAAATATATGATATAATGTTACATAAATATAATTATATAATATTTCTAAACACCTTATAGGAATATATTTATGTTTATAATATAAATAATAATAAAAGAATAATAGAGATAAAACACAACAATAGTAAATATTAATATTAATAAATATACTGTATAACACATTAGTGTATCAATCCTGTTATTTAAATGTAATAAATAAGAAATTAATTAATATGTAATACACCTTGACATTTCAGATTAGTAGTACATGTTTCAGGGTCATGAGATTGTCACAGGATGCAGAATAAGTGATTTTGTTACAAATTTATTAAAAAAAATTAAAAAATTAATTAATTTTTGTTTCAGAATCATTATAAAGTCATGTAATTACATAATATGCATATTATTTTTCAAAAAAATATATGTAAAACTCAATTAATATAATAAATAATAATAATGATTTTTATTTTTGATTCATATAAGTTATAAGTCACATGATATACAGATATTAAATTATGGGTAATAAATTTGTACCCTGAAAATCTTAGTTCACCTTCAAAATTATTACTCATTTGTTTCTATAATCAAATATAAGAAATACTGTATATTTAAAATATTATAGCAAAAGCACTTTTATAGTATTATATTTAATTTTATCTAAGATTTTATTATTATTTGATTAATTTTACTAGCATTTACGTTAATAAATTCACTGTATATATCGTTTTGGTACATATTTGTACATGCAAACTTTTTATTATTTACCGTTCTCGAATGATTCCGTTAATTCTGCCATTCAGAAAATTTTATAAATAGTGAACGATTATTTTCATACCATCTTTTTATAAATCTATATAAACTACGGTGTGCCTTCAATAATATCTGATCTAGTGCTTCAATTATAAATTGATCTCTTAATTGATTGTTAAAATAAATAGCCTTTCCAGAATAACCTCCCACGTACTGTAATTATGCCAAAGAGTAAATATCTGATTCTAATGTAAATGGTTTCCACCAAAACTTCTGGTTTTATACATAGTAAAATATAGTTTTGTGAATAAATTATTAGACCATAATAAAAATTAATGATTTCGACTTATCCTTCCATTCAGTTCGTATTATTTAATTAATGTTTTCGCGCAAAGAACATTTTGTTGCATAATCCATAATAAAAATGTATCTTTAGAAGTGTCGTCTACAGAAGCTCCATAGTATTTTAAAAACGTAGGGCTTTTATGACTAATATCGCAGTACGTATGTTTTAATTTTAATACAAGGAAAAGGGTAAGAATATTTTTAAAAATACAACTTATTAAATAAATTAAATAAATATTACCTCTTTCACAAACCCCTTATAACTATCTCTTGATCCATTAAATAATCTGGCGCAACATTTTTTATTTCCTCAAATTGCATAAAACATGGTAGCAAATCCTCCTTATCCTAGCTTCTTAATGTCTTTAAATTCGTTGTGATTAATCCAACGTAGCAAATGTGATCATTTTTTCAAGCTCATTATTAATATTAGTGTTTTAAATATTAATTATTTGAAACTAAATTGATAGGTTATTAGATTCGAAATAAATAGAATGAATAATAGAATAATAATGTCATAATATTTACCTGATAATTTATTCTTTCCCTAATACTTTAAAAATTTGTTAGCTTATAGTAATTATAACGAACAATTGAAATAATATGCTTACATTTGATATCAATGCGTAGCCATTTGCAAGTTCCGTGAAACTCCGATTCCATTTCTAAATCAAGCAACCGTAAACATTCCACTTATACTGTATTATCTATCTCGGTTAATTCTCGAATGCCTTATGTTCATCCTTCTCAACTCCTATTCAATAACCAGCACTAAATGCTCCCAAAGCAGCACCCATCTTGGTTGATTTTTTGATGATATTCAAATGCCTTATGCCCGATTCCAACGCTATTTTCATAACAATAATCAACACTATGTATTCCCATATAATAACCCATTTTGCCCGATTTTTGATAATATTTGAATGCCTTGTGTTCACCCTTAAAATTCATTTTTGATAACAATAACCAACATTATACTGTACTGTATATGTCATCTACATAATCTATCTCGGCTGATTTTTGATAATATTCGATCATCCTTTTTAAGCCCAATTCCATCGAAATTACAATGGCCAACCTGTAATATGCCATTAGAATTTCCTATATCGACTGATTCGAACGTCTAATTGTTCGTATTTTTGACGCGTATTCCATTTCGATAACATTAGCCAACCTGAAATACAAATATATACGTGCTTGACTAAATGAATATTAATCATAAAATACAATAATTCATATAATCTATAACACTGCAAAAATGAAAGTATGAAAATCATGTTAGATATAAGAGCCAAACATATCATAATAAGGTTGATAGTAAAACAGATAAGTTCATACATGTAGTATTTTTCGAATGAGTTCTCAGATATTTTGCATGGACATTTCATCATATTGAATAAAAATGGAAATGGACTCGTTATATTGCGGAGTGCGAGTTCCATAAAGAATCATTATAAAGAGGCAAGTCTTCTGCTATCGTTGTTGTATTATGATAAATTTCTGTTAATTGTGGTGGTGTAGAAGAATGAATTTGAAAATCGACAAAGAGATGGTCGTAGTGGTAGATGTGGTGGTAATAGTTGTGATTGGTAATATTAACTTAATAGAGTCGGATTTGCGACGTTTCTTTATATTAGTGATTTTGACTTCGGGAGATGGTACACGTATTCGGGATGTGCTTCCATATATTCAACCTTTTTTTTTTTATTGGAAAATTTGTGCCAATATAATTTACTTCCTCCTTTTCCTTTTTCCATAATCTTGATAGAATTATAGAGATAATGGCGTTAGATATATTTTCCCTATCGGCAGTTACCTCGGACTGTCTCGCCCATCAACAAAGGATAAATACATTATGTAGCTTTGATGTATGTCTTTTGGTGTAGCTAAAAATTTTCATTTTCGAATATCACTTTCTTCGCTCGTTTCCACCTCGGAATTCACGCTTACATTCCGGATGGGGGTTGTGGTCTTATTCTCATGGATTCTACAAATGAGGTAAGGATGAAATTTCATTGATTCCAATGCTGTCGTTGTTTTCAAAAGAAGTGGCATGTGTATCGTAAACGAGTAGCTACTGTATCTAGACCATTCCAAATTAGATTTTTTGACGTCGAACATCAAGAGGTTGCAGTATTTTTTTATTGCCTCGGAATTCATTTTCACAAATTTGTGAAACGCTATTAGCGAGAGAAAGATAGAGTGTAATGGGCACTTTTTGCATATTTTGAACAAGAAGTGCGGAAGTCGGCCAATCTTTTTATTGAACCTCTTAACAATGAAGGTATAATGGGAACCGAGGACCCATTATGTATGTGTAAATTTTCCTAAAAATAAACCCATCAGGCGTCACGGAATTTATCCGAGTTGCGGCTGAGAATAGATCTATAATTAATCTTTTCAAAGTGAGAATATTTTCGCTTATAAAAAGTTATTATTGACTCGCATGTTCTTTTTATTTTTAAAAAACTGTGTAATATCTAGAAACGGTTTGTTTTTACCAAGAAAGAAGTATCCATCATCACTTTTTTTACTTATTTATATTAAATTTTTGCCCTGGAACCCGAGGGCATACTACGGTAATAATCAAAATGACCAAAAGAATGAGTCTAAAAAAAAAGCCCCCTTGATCATGTTACGTTACACTAAAGTCTGACTTTCTGATTTGATTTGATTTTTTTATTCATGAAATTTTTTTTTACTTCTAATCAGGTTGCAAAGCTGAGGTGCTTATTAATATTTTATAAGCAAGAATAATAATATGCATGAAATTATAAATATGAAAAATAATAAAATAATAATTACTTTTATTATACTATGATTGCTCAATAAATAAATATAAAATAAATATATTTACATCAATAAAATTTTAATTCAAAATTTATAATATAAAAACATTAAATTGATTTTCTATAATTAAATTTTTTAAAGAATCTAATTATTAAAAGTTTTAAATTTTATAAAAACAATAAAATTATAATAAAATTATAAATATAATAAAATTTTAACTATAAATATATTTAAAATTTTAAAAAATCAAATAATAAATTAATTATAACAAATATAAAATTTTTTATAAATATAATAAAATTTAATAAAAATATTATAATCAAATTATTTTTTTATTTTTTTAAATAAGTAACCATTATTATTATTATTTTTATATATTAATAAGATATATATTTTAAAAAAAAACAGTAAGTTTAATACTAATTTGCTTATATATACTATATCTAACTAATATCAAAAAAAAATTAAAAATAATATTAATATACTAGATATAAATTGAATAATATTAAATATTAAATATGATACAATACTATTCCAAACCAGTAATCTTTAGCCACCATCATCTTATTAATAATAAACAGATCTTATTTTGCTTATATTATAACAAATTATATATTAAAACTAAAAATACAATCAAGGTCAAATCCATTTGAACAATAAAATAGAAAAACTATCATAAATTACTAAACAATATAAAAGAATTCAAAGTTATTTTAACTTCTAACTCCATTCTAATTTTTCAAATTATAATTATTTTATTACTTGCAATTAAATTACAAGCTATTACTATTCATATTACATACAACTCAAACTTTATAACAGTTAATACATTCTTCAATTAATCTCTAATATTTAACTTTCTAAATATATAAACAGACAAGTTAAAGTTTTATTTTACAAATATATACAAAATATAAATTATATCAGAAAATTAAAACAAACTAAATAGATTGGACTAAAGCATAAAACAATTCCAAAAAACATAAACCACAAATCTAAACATATATCTTCCTATTCCTGATACTTTTATTCAAGAGTTATAGTATATCATCTCTAATCAACATAAAATATACAACCAGTATAATATATTGAATTAAGTTTATTACTTATTATATCAATTTCTTTAATATTTTTTTAAATCAATCAATAATTTCAAACCTAATTACTTGGATTAGCTCAAAATCATTATAAAAGCAAATAAAAAGTTAAGATTGAGTAAATAATTAAAATATAAAGTTCTAATTGTATTCAAAGCAAAAATTATCTCTTATTAATTATTAATCAAAGAAAAACCACACAAAAGATATCCAAGTATCTATAAAAACAATCTCTATTCAAGATATAAACTACTATTAAAGATCTCTATTATCTTTTTAACTATATTTTTATAATAAAAAATAGAGCTTCAAAAAATATCCAAATAGTATTAAAGTAATATCAAAATAGTATTGATTTATAATAAATTTAATATATAAATTGTGATCCACTCATATAAAATTATAATAAAATTAAATATAATTCTGGTATCAAATTAATATTAAAATAATATTATTAAAAGCTCTAGTAAAAAATATATTAACTTTAAAAAGAATAAACTAATTAATTTGTTTTTAGAAAGCCTTATATTCTCAAAAATATATAATTTTTAAATTAATCCAAACTTAATATTATAATTAGCTCTTAACAACTTTCAAGACTCATTTAAACAATTAAAAAAACAAAAAAACTATCTTAAACAAAAAATTAAAAATCCCTTATAAAGTCTGAATATAAAGATCAATAATAGCTGCTACTTCTCTCTTTTCTAAAATAAAATAGAAAAAAATAAAACTACAAGTTATAAAAATCAAATAATTAATAATAATAGTACTCTTTAATTATTCTTAATACCTTAAAATCATTTAATAATTTTATAGACAAAAGTATCTTTTATTTCTCAATATTATTATTGTTTAAATAAGCATTAGTTATTTAGTATCTATATTGCAAACCTACTTACAAAGTATAAGTAGATACTATAGATTAAAAATTACAATAGATATAATTAATTTATATACTGTAAAGATTATTAATACAATATAATGATTATAAAACTAATGTTTAATAAAAGTCCCACATTTAACTGAATTCTTTAAAGTATCTATTAAAAGATTTTAAATTGTGTTTCACTTAATTTTAAAACTTCTAAATTTGATAGTTTGTATCAACTAATAATTGCAATTTTGGAATATTACTAGAAAATACATATCTATATTTAATTTTCTTAGAATCCATAGCTATATAAGTTAAAGTTGTAATATAAAAAATTATTTTTAAATATTAATATATAATTTATTTTTTTAAGTCTTTTTTATTACTATAAATAGCATAGTCTATAATGCTACTATTAAATGAATATTGGTTTTAAAATTGATTTTTTAATATAGTTTAGATAGTTATTTTAATAAATTAATATTTAATTCATATAAATTAAAAAATATAGGTTCTTGTTCAAATATATAATTATATACAATATATATAATAATAAAGGAACTAATATTTAATAATAATAATAATAATAAATAAATAAATAAATAAAAGTTTCTTATTTAATACTCATTTGTAATAAAAAATAATTAATATATTAAATATAAATTAAATAGTAATTCTATTTATCTATTTAAAAAAAAAGTTTAAATATATAAAAAAAGTAAAAAGTAAAAATAATTAAAATTAAATTAATAAACTATAAAATCTATATAAGTAAAATTATATTTTCAAGAAAACTTTTAAATTAACAAATATTATTTTGATTAATATATTATTTATAGATAATTAATCAAGTTTAATTATTTTTTTTTATAAAAAAAATATATATAGTTAAATAGTATAAAATATATATATATTTAATTATCATATAATATGTTATAATTAGATTTTTATACAAATAACAGACTTGTTATTTTCAATTGCTATAATAAATTATAGAAAAAAATTAAATTATATTAATTAAATTATATATATATAATTTTAATTTTTTTTATTAAATAATAATTAAAACAATTTTCTATAGGTATTATATTCAAATATTTAAATCTTTATCAAAATTAATTAGTTTGCATAAAAATAGAATCTCTAATTTTTTTAACGATTGCAAGCTGAAAACAGGTTAAAGTAGGAAAGATTACATAAGGAAAGGTTTCTGGTCTAACTCTGATAAGAAGTCCATATTCCCTTTTGGCATGGCAGACTCCATTGCACAACATGCTAGTGTAAAATAATCTATTTTCAAAGAGATTGCCATTGTTAATTGCTTATATAAAAACTTTCAAGAAGATCTTTTAATAACTTATTAATATATAGGAGTTACATCCTGCTTGATATTTATGTCCCTAGACTTGATAGCTTAAGTCAACTAAAGCCTTTGAAATATCTATTAGGAGATTCAAGAGTTGCATCCCACTTGGCCAAAAAATAGATCCTTAGATTTGATAGCTAAAATCAATCAAAGGTCTTACTTTCAAAGTATTTATTAGGAAGTGTATACCCATATTAAATACCTCTAATCTCTAATTTGTATTTCAACTGTCATGATATGAGAAAACAGATTATTGATTACTGGTATATATTCCTAAAAGCATCCCTTAATAAAAAATTGAATTAATAGACTAGATGGTTTAAACTGGTGGCAGAACTTTTATTTTCTGATTTAATCCTATCTAATATATGGATATACTTTTATAATGTGAGGTTATATGGTACATTTTATCTAAAAACTAAAATAAATTATTCAACTTTCAAAATTCTAAGGCTTTTCTATTAGAATATATAAAGAAAAACTAATCCATAAGAATAATAGAACAGATAATACAGAACAAAAGTTACAGTTTAGATTTTTTAGTTGACTAAAAAAGTTTTGAGTTTTAGGGATTTGAAAATAACAGTTTTTTATATTTTTGTAAATTTCCTTATAAAAAATAGAAATTTTCAGATAAACCAGTTGTGTAACTTTTGTGTGTAACAATCTGTTATCCAATAAAATATATAGTTTTTATGAGTATTTTCTATTATTTCACTATACCTTAAATCATA